AATATGATTTGACATCCATTACTTACATTCATAAATAAAAGAAAAAAATTATTACCAACCTAAAGATGATAAAGAGTACAAAACACCTAAAAATAAAAACTAAACCCGAACTATGAAACAAACCCATTTTTCTTATTTCTTAATGTTTAAACTCATGGAATATCCTTTACAATCGCATGTAATTGATGTTTCCACACTCTTCCTAACACCCATGTAACCAGTGCTTTCATCCAACCTTCTGAAACTCTTACAAAAAAATCTATTTCTCATATAAAAATCACATAGATTGCATCTTTCATTATTCTAAAGACTGAGACTCACATTGTACTTATAAAGTCTTATTACTTGATTACCAAAAATTTCTATACATTATCAATATATTTATCCATGAAACAAACTTAATTTTTAAGTAATTCTAAACTAACAAAATTATATCACAATCCAAAATAATTTCCAATTAAAATTTGAGTCAAATTTCTAACATACTTAATACACCATCCCCTTGCATAAGGGGTCTTGTAGAATAACATCTCAAAAAGTTGTACTAATTGGTCTACTAAAATTGCAAACAAGAATATAATGAAGAAACTAATTAACCCCGTGGGTCAAAAAAAACTAATACCAGTTTAGTATTTGTTTGGTTTGATTTTTTTTTAACTTATTTATCTCTTAAAAACACAAGTAAGATCAAACAAGATTTTTTAAAAAATTCTTGAAAAAAACAACTCTTTTTAAAGAACAAAATTTTAAAAAAAAGCTTAAAGAGGAATTTTATTTTCTCTTCTTTTATAAACACATTAGTTTTTTAGGAAATATCCCTCTCTCTTAATCAATCTCCCTCTCCTTTCACTCCTTTTGCAAATCACTATTCTCCAATGTAAAATCACAATCTCTTTCTCTTTTACCTCTGTCTACAAAAGACTACTAAAAAAAAAAAAAAACCTAAGACTCAGCAACAAAATAACAAAATTTAAGATTTTTTTTATTTTTACAAAAATTAAGAAAAAAGAAAACACAAAATTCAAAGGTGCATTCATGTACTATTTAAAAGTTTTCTTTCTTATTCACTAAAAAATCTAATACTATTACTACTATATAAATTTGAGAGTTGTTTCGATTATTTATAATTTTTTTAAATTTTAACATCTAAAATCGTATATAAACTCGAAACAAATTTATTTGTCTATTAGGTAATTAAAAATGACATAAATATCATTTATAATAATTTTAACTAAACTTAAAATTTATATAATTTATTTTATCAAACAACTTATAAAACGTTTTAACTTAATTTTAAAAACTTCAAAATTACACGCCATAAAAACTTAGCAACAACAAATATTTCGAGTTTAGGCCAAGACATAATCAAACTATGTCTCATGTACGCCCATGTCGATAAACAAATATACATTTGACAGCTTGTTTTTCTATTCTCTATTTTATTTCTTTTTCATTTCTTTTTTCTTTCAATTTCTACCAATACCGGCTGGAATTTAACCTCAATGACGGAAAACGCGGACCAAAGTCTGCCCCAAGTGTCGGTGACGATAAAAATAGGCTGTCAAATTGCAAAAGAAAAAAAAAAGCAAAAGGCAATTATAAAAAGCACACCAATTTTTACCAATAAATTTGAAGAAAACAACAAATTTCTTTTTTGGGTATGCCACTTTCATTCCCAATGAAGTTTCGTTTTCAGATCTTGCTGATCCACAAAAAAGATTATTGTAATTCATTGACAAATCTTAATTTTTGAATAATGTCACTTTCTAACGATGTGAAAACATTTGCACAAATTAAAAAAAATATGAATGGAATTATTCTCTTCCCTTTTCTTTTTCAATAATAAAACTATTCCTTGATTAAATTAATCAAAATGAATATGACGAT